TATATTCGAGCCGGTTTGCGAGCCTCACGAGCCAAGCTCTAGTATGCTCGAGCACGGCTCATTTAATAATCGAGCCTCGAGCTTGGTTGAAACCGAGCTGTGCCGAGTTCAAGCAGCTCGTGAAAAGCTCGGCTCGTTGCCACCCCTACGCTGCTTCTCCAATTACTATGCATAAGGTTGATTAAATTTGTTAATGAAAAGTAGGGATTCATTACAAATGGATCAGGTCTAATTCACTCTAATGAATATTTTAGATCATTTTGAATTGGTCTAATTCAATGGATCGTCCAGTTTGTTCAAATTGATTTTAATTTAGATTAGTTCTAACTTAAATCTGCCTGTATTCTTACTTTTTTGTCAATAAATTGGAGATCGATTTAATCCGATCCAATCCAATATAAATCCATACACAGTCCAACCTAATAACTATTTCATATCATTAAATCTGATCCAATTCAATGTCTTATCCCAATCCGTTCAAATTGATTTTGATCAACTTTTTCAAACCGTTGTTGACCCGGATGGTCTGACCATTCGGACCAGAAACCAATCACTCGAACAGTTCCGATTTTACCTCAAACCATCGACTCGTTTGACCTGGGCAATGGTTAGCGGTTCAATATTTATATTTATTTTGATTTATTATTTCATTTTAAAAAGAAAAAAGAAAACGACAAACCTATCCCAACTAAACATTCAATGACTCCTCCAGTCCTCCTTGAAGGGTTTTGTTTTGCTAAAACCCAACATCTTCACAAGCTTCACCGGAGAAGACAATAGCAGCACACCGACACCTACCGTCTTGAAGTCCAAACAACCACCTACCGGTGACCAAGATTTGCAGTGCCAGCCGACAAACATGGTGGAAGACTCTGTTTCCTTCGTTTTCAAATATCTCCGATCTCTTGAAACGAAAGGCATCTCTTGAAGGGAACAACGGTGACCACTGTGGACATCCAACCTCCGGCGACCAATCTTAGCTACGACTGCTGGAGACCACTTTGGAAGGAGTACAACGGCGATTATAAGGTAAAAAACTTGCACGTGATTGTGTTTTTTTTCGTTTTTCTTTGATTTGATAATAATTTCTACGCATTAAGCCATTAACTCATTCCCCTTTTTTCTTTTTTGCAATACTACAATTTATTGCATCATGAACCAACATTTGCGCCGGCAACCACTCCATTGGAGATGAGAACCACCGTAGAATCACTAGATGTGTAAATCGGGCCGGGCGACACGGCACGACAACCCATAGGTCATGTCAGGCCCAACATGATGGTTCGTGTCGTGTTGGGCCAGGGGTTCGAGGTCCACGGGCCGGTATGGCACAACACACAACTCACGGCCCACGGAGCCCGTAGCGGGCCGAGTGCGGCCCCGTCCAAAAACTAGCCGTTGCACCCCCCCCCCCCCCCAATGGCTAATTTCAGCTTTTTGGGGGATTTTTTACATAAATACCCCAACAGCTATAAACAACCATATTAGGGGGTATTTATGTATTTTGCTTATGGGGGAGAAAAAATGACATAAATGCCCCCCCAACAACTATATAACAAATAGTTTAGGGGGCTTTTTGGGTAAAATTATAAGTAACTTTACAATAACCAAAATACCCCTCCCAACAACTAAATAACAAATAGTTTTTAGGGTATTTTGGGCAATTGAATTATGTTCAATTCCTATAAATAGCCCTATCCTCCATTCTCATCACACCAATTCAGCAATTATCTTAATCTCTTCTCTCTTTCTCTCTCATACTCATACATTCTCAATTCTCTACAATATGAATAATCCTGATTGGCTAATTGCCTAATTCTCCATTCTCCAATTCTCAAGTTTCAACTTTATTGAAGTTTCAACTTTAACAAGAAGAATGCTTGCTTTACCAGCTCAAGTATCTCAATTTGGGAGGCTTGGATGTTGAAAGGCTTCAACTGTTGAAATCAAGTTGGGATTTTGAGCCGGTAATCCGGGTAAGTCCAATTAAATTCATTTTTATCTTTTTAGAATTGAGAAAAGTGGTTGGCTCTTCCAAAAACTGATTCCCCAACATGTTCACCATTGATGATATTCAATTGTATCATGATAGTGTTAGCACTGGTGCGATTGATATTGA